GCAATATTCGCCTCAATTTCAACTCGAGCTGACAATTTGCATGACGCATTGTTGCGCAGGCCAATTAGTGAAGAGCTTATTGACATGTTTGGTTTGACATGTCCTGTTGTATCAGAAAATCTTTTTTATTGTTTTTTTTTTATTATTAATGCTAGTGATGCAATAAACATCCTGCGAGTAATATAGAGCAAGTAACATGTTGCAAATATTCGCATGAACACTTTTGGTGTGAACACATCTTTAGTCTTCTTAACCTACTTAACCAGCAGCACTTTCTTGGTCAAACAACATCAACAGAAAAAATAATGGCTGGCCATCTTAGCAGAACCAAACCAGAACTAACCAGTCTGCAAATGCATGCTGGTTAAATCTAAGCAGGTCTTTTCAGCAGGGAATGTATAACTGGCTTTTCCCAGCTTGTGTATGCGGTTGTTTTTAAGCCTTTGTGGAATATGAAATAGACTGATGTTCTCTGGATCCATCCCATTGCCCACCACCACAGGAAACAACAAATACAGCTGCACGCGCAGCCTGCAAATAGCGCAGCACACAAGCGCACACCCCCAAACACACACTGTGCGCTTGATCACAACCACCTACCATCCCACACACACTCTCTATGCGGCTCCCACACAAACACACATCAATAAATAATTACACTGACAATTAGATGGGGAGCACTCCAAGCCTGACCTGTTAAGAGATTTGCAACCTACACACATAGTCGCCATCTGAAAGGCTGGGGAGGGGGAGTCATTTTTCTTACTACCCAGTTAACTGGCTGACTTATTGATTTAAAATTACCATCACAGAGAGCTCATATAGTTGTCTACACTTTATTTGGCCGCTCTCAAGGCCTTGTTTGATCTGAATAGCTTATGTTAAAGCTACAAAGGAGCAGGAAATGCAAATTGTGCCCCATTTCAAGTGCATTCACCATCCACACAGGGAAGCACTGAGATCATGGACTTATACTCAATAAAAAAAACAGTAAACCAAAAAGAAAAAAAAAAAACTTCTGGTTACTTCTTCACAGTAGTGTTAAATAAAGATAAAAATAAAATAAATGTATATATAAGAAGAAGAAAAATAAAATTACATAAATTAGATAAACATAAGTAGTGACTAAAATAATTAGATAAACAAATAATTAGATATTTTAAATAATTAGATAAATGATTTAAATAGATAAAATGATAATGTAAATAAATGAATACCCTAGGCCCAAACTATCTTCACTGAAAGTGTAATTCAGAATCTTACAACTGGGCCTATATTGTATCAGCAAATACTAAAGTATCAATACTCATTCTTGGTCTCAGAAAATGAAAAATGATAGTGAAGCACCCATTTGGAAAGAACAGATATTTACAGTCAATTTTCCTTCTTTGTTTCTCCTTTAAGGAAGAACAATCAGCAGAGGATTCCCTTAATCTCAAACCTGTGTTCCAGACAACAATAAATATCTATGGAAAAACAATTAGCCCCAAGGCTATTGAGGTGGATATAGTTTCATCTATATGATTTTTCAATATCCAGTCATCTCTGATCAATACCCCACAGGGAAGGAAGCACATATGGGAAGCCATTAAAGTGTAATCCAGTACTATATCTTTTTTGCCTGTCCGTGAAGGGCTACCGCATGAACTTGTTCTCTCATTTCCTTGAGCTGTTCTTCAGAGTCAAAAAGAACTCAAGTGAACACCAACAGCAAGCAAATGATATTCAATGTCATGATTAAATCACCAAGTCTTTCATTGGGGAAGTTTTCAATGGCATCGGAGATTAAAAGACAAGACAGAAAATCTTTCTGCCTTCAGTCTGAGGGAAAAACAGAACCAACACAAGAAGGATAACTGCTAGCAATCAAAATCACCAGGCAAGTGATCAACTGAGATAAGTGATCATGTAATTATGCAAAGGAGCGAAGGGTGAGGAGTCGGTCCTGGCGTATTTTCGTTCATCAGTTAAACAACAATTTGTCTCAATGCCACACACAAAATCAGCTAAAAGTCATTCAATAATGATGCTATGTTTTCCCGAGAGAGTGATTCACACTCTGTTTTCAAGTACGGAAGTGACGAGTGTGTATTGTTGTTTGTTGTTATTGTGTGCAGTTGTTGTGCTCATTAATATCACCTGTGGACAGACTGAAAAACTCATTAGCAATGCTAATATGTTTTTGTTCTGCTTTTTCCCCTTCTTCATTTTTTTTTTTTATTTTTTTTTTTTACAGGCACAATTCAGATGGTTGGAAACCAGCTTGCATCTGGCACAGAAGGTGACCTGGAACCTTTAAAAGTTCCTCTTGTTAGAGCCACCATAAATTTGGAAGATTTGGAGGAGAGTCTGGCACACAAGCTGCATGGAAATAGACGGAGAGACGCCACAATCCAGCAGAATAATCTCTATATCCTGTAGATCAATAGGTTTGAAAATATAAGAAAGACTCACATCATCATCTGAATAGGGCACTTTGGCAGCAAAGTACAAATTCAGTCTTCAGCTTCCAAATGCACGGTGCCTCAAAACGCTGCATCATAACGCTTTATTGAATAATATTAGAGGCCCTTCCGGTATATGAACAAAAGTGTCCATTATAGACGTCAGTTATTTTATAAAGAAAAGGCCAATGAAATGAATTACAGTGAAAAATTACTACTGCCAGCCTTGATAAGAAGCAGGATAGAGAAGTCTGTGTGTAATTATTATTTGACTCTGCTGACGTGTCTTTGATGGATTGCAACATACTGTCGCAGATGGTAATCAAGCACCATCATGTACGGTTTCTCATTTACATATATGCATAGCTTTACCATGAGCAACGGGACAGGTGGGCAGAAGAAAGATGTCAAAGGCGCTTACTGTCTGTCTGTCCAATCGCGCACATCTCTCGTCGCTTTTCCCGCTCCAGTCGGCTTTTCGTCTGTGTGCACGTGTGTCTCCCCCAAAGCCTTCTGAATTATGAAAGTGTGCTTTGTGATTGGAAAATGACAATATTAATTGCTTGTAAGCAGAGCGCGGAGGCAGAGGGATTTTTGATCATGCACTGATTGTGATGGGCTATAAATGAATAACACAAGGTGAGTGAGGGTGAATTATTCATAAGCTGGAAGCTCCTTGCCGGTGGAGGACCCTCAGAGCGTTATCTTTTCATCCAATTCAGCCAGCCGTGCCGCCATCATTACCAAGGCAGATTGCTCCAGGCCCGTTATTATAATGGCAGCAGTTATTATCGTTAATGCCACTGACAGTTTTTCGCCGAAGGAGTCTACCACTGTGGATGCTACCATCAAAATCTACATTAGAGCATATGGTTTACACTACCCACAATGCACTATAAAGACAACTGTTAAGAATACAAAATATTTCACACAATAAACAAACGTAATTTCAAAACGTGCGAGAAGCCAAGTAAGTGTTGCATTTTCAGCAAGCATTAGATTAAAAGTAGTCTTATTGACCATTTTTATGGCAGAGCAATGGGATAGTTTACCCAGAAATATAATTTATTGTCATTATCATGCAGTTTCAAACATGTATGCATTGCTTTCTTCTGTAGGACACAAAAGATATCTTGACACAATTACAGTCAATGTTGTTATTCTTCTAAATATATTTTCATGTTCCACAAAAGAAAGAAATACGTGTTGGCCTCTCTATTTTCTTCATGAATTTTCCACCAATTGTCTTTACGGAAAGCACAATTTTACTGAATAAAATTACTTCGTATATGATGAGTCATATAAAAACATGAAAAGAAAAAAGATAGCATAAGGTCTCAATCAAACCTGCTTTTGAAAGAGAGTCTATGACAGCTGAATAACAGCAGGTCTCTCTAACTGTGATATGTAGTCTGATAGGTGATTACAATTCAGCATATGATGGATGGTAAAATTTATTTCTGTCTAGTTTGAATTTTAGAGCTTTGATGTATGTGCCACTAAACGTTTGATCAGATCACATATTGCCGTTATAAACTGAAGCGAATATTACATTTTCTCATTTGAGGCATTTAATAAAAGTTGTCAGAGAAATGTAATAATTCATAACCCACTAGTGTTATGACAAAATACTGAAGATGAGGTGTCATGGCATAAGAATTGTGAAACAATAACTACATCACTGAAACTGCATCATAATATATCATAATACTACATGAGAAGCAATGTCAGCACACTTTCTCGATCCTTATCTGCCTCCCTTCCCTTCCTCTTCCTTTCTTTCATAATCACCAGCTCCATCCTTCTATTTTTTATTACTCTCACAAGTCTCTGACTCGCTCCATCAGCCAAAATGTGTTTCCTCTTGTATGTCTGAGTACAGTCAAATCACCCAGGAACATGCTGCACATATAATAGAAGGGAGGATTTGGGCTGTTCTCTGGGAATAATCCCCTCATTCTGTGCTAGAGCATTGTGTTCGGTGTAGAAGTGCCGGCTTGGCTAGTTCCTATGATAGCCTATGTAGAGAGCGCAGCTAAGAGCGCTGTTGATTTGCAAGTAAGCTATGCGCCTGCACACTAGCCTCTCTGTGGCTGTCCACATTGTTCTGACACCAGAATGAAGGTCCCAAGAGGACTTGGGCAACAAAGACAGGACAACTTTAAGAGTTTAAATCAATTATCACTTGAGGAAATGGACACATGAGGCAAGAGAGTGACAGGGTGCTAATCCCATGGACTGAGCTAATGATGTGGCTGGGCTAGTTAATCTGATTTAAGAATGGAGGTTTCCCTGTTAAACAACAGTGAGATTCTCAGTGCCTGCATCCATGCACACGGACAAGATATTCCCAACGGCTTTACCGCACCAATGATCTGGAAATAACATGCGTTCTATTATGAATTGATTGAATGCTACAACACCCTTCAACACTGGAACTGAGTTGAGGGACTTAAGGTACTTTCATTCATTTGCAAACAAGTCTGAACTAAAGTCAACAGTGCACCTGGTGTCTATCTTGTTAATGTAACAATATAGTTAGTGAGTGTGACTTACTGAGTTGATGCAGTTCAGTTCCTTGTTGAGGAGCCAAGGCAGGGATAGTTTTCCTTCACCCCTGTAGCAGGATTGGATCCTGTCCTTAATCTTTTCCTTGATTTTCCGCAATGTGAACAGGCACAGGGCTGATTCTTTCGGTGGCTTGGCCCGGTTCTTTTGGCCCTGAGCAAATACGGTAAACAGCACCTCTTCCTGTTCAGAGATACCCAATGATCGTGCCAGCTTGGCACCGGGCCGACTGAGGTAGGCGTCTTGAACCAATCGGTATTCCACGCCATCCTTGGTACAGCCAATAGGAAACTCTACGTAGGAGTAGAACTTGGGGTCATCCACACAGAGGCGGACAATCTTGGAGGTGAAGAACTGTTCACCACTGGCATCCGGCGAGGTGAGTTGGGTGTCCAGCTGGAGAGTTAGGTAGTAGATGAACTGTTCGCTGCTAAAGCCATAGACGTAGTAGATGTCAAAACTAGGGAACTTGGAAAGGGTGTCGGATGGAATCTTGAGCTGCGAGGAGACAAACTCATCCTGGTAGACAAAGCTGAACATTTCAGCATTCTCCTCATTAGCCATCAGCTTACGACTGGAGAGAGTTGGGAAGTACTCAGATTTTCCTTCGATGGGTGTACCTACGAACAATTTGCCAGTGTCTTCACCTTGGGTTCCACTAATAACCACTCCTGACATAGTGCCCGCCTCAGACACACTTGAAAGGTAGTGCTCCTTGCGGTGATGTGGCTCACCAAGTTTGAAGAGGTCATCCAGTCGGAGGAACTGGCATATACCCTGTGAGGTGCTTCCACACGCAATGAGCCTGTTCTGTCCTGAATCCAGAAGCAACAGCTTGTTGACATTGCTAGTCTGTGATAGCTCGTGAGGGCAAGACTGAACACCAGGTGGTGGGTAACATTTCTCATTATCCACCACAGGACCGGTAACATGGCTTCGGAGCTTGGTCAGGTTGCTGGAGAGCTTGTAGATCCAATTGACAGCACCGACGTAGACTTCACCCGTTTTGTTATGGACAACCAAATGCGTAAGCCCTCCCTCTGGTGGGGTAAAGATCCGGAAGGAAGAGAGGTTAACCTCGAGCCCCCCATGTTGAGGGAGGAACGAGAGGAAGAAAAGGAGGAGGAATGCCTCGCGAAGAGAGGCGGGAAGGGGCCTCCTCCCATACGGCAGCATTTTGAATATCTTTCTGAGAGGAAGCGGTAGGCCAGGTGATCCGTTCACCTTTGTGATCCTGGGCCTGGAAAAAACCTGGACAGCGTCTGTCAGTCTACGGTGAGGAGAGCGTCTTATTGACCCAGTGTCCTCTCTGCTCTCTCTCTCGGCACGGAGCTGTCGTCTACACCATCATCTGAAGCGCCATGGCCGCTAGCCCTGCAGGGGTAGAAAAACACATCATGAGTGTTGGAGAAAAACAGAATAGAACAGTGTCTATTGATTCGACTGGAGTTTAAAAGTTCTGCCTGCCCAAGAGAAAAAGAGCTCATAATACATAAACACAAATATCTTACAGTGGGGCCCTGGGTGGAATCCTATACAACATTTAATGAGTGTGTCAAGCTTGCAGACAGCAGTGCACTCCACAAACTCCACACTGAGAACTCGTCTGATAGACCTGCTGTGCCCCTAAATATTTCACACAGTCTGTGCCAACTCAGCTGGCACAAAAAGGAAAGAGAATAGAGCAGGAGAGAGTAGATTAGAAGAGTAATGAGGAAAAAGTGAGCGATGCCATAACCGTAGACTAGTTTACCAATTCACCTTGAAGAATGCCATAAGCTCAGAAGCGTCAGCAATAAACATTCTCATTTCCTCATGCTTGCTCAGAGAAGCCATTCAAGTTGACCTCGCATAAAACAAAGGCACTTTCCTTGAACCGCGGGTTTTAAAATACCACAGTACAGACAACATGCCCTCGACCACAGGGCTGCGGAAAGAAAGACAATCCATCAAATTTGTTCTAATTGAAAGTCTAATGACATTCATGTGATCATGGGCGATGAAGAGGAGCTCTGGGTGTCCAGCTACATCCTCAGAGTGCAAAGCCACTTAAACAAGGGCAATCTCAGGCCTCTCATATAGCCAGCAGCAGGGACTGTCTGCTGCTGTGACCTTCTCCAGTGTTCAAAACAGAAGCATCATTGTATCTCAGATGACATTTATCTCACTTCACAAGACTATTGAGCGAGGAGACTGCTCGGTGCTGTGAGCCATACTGTGGGCTGACTGTCATGCGCAAACCACGAAACAACTGTGCGAGAGAGCAGATGAATATACACATATGTCAACACATCATATACTGTACTAGATAGGCCTACATGATACACATCATCTGAGTAGGGGAAAATGTATTCATTCAAAATTTCATTTCTGTTGACCATGTGTAAAATGGCAAAAAAAACAGTAAGTTTGTGTGTCATACTTTAGTCAATAGTGTTTATTGATTAAAACTATTGTCATGAGGCATCAATATCCAAAGTGACTCCCTGGGGATCGAACCCATGACCTTGGTGTAGCTAGTGCCATGCTCTACTGTTTCAGCTACAGGAATGCATAGGACTATTTACTTGGATATTGTTGGGAAAAAAGACATTCAGATCAAGTCTGTGAGAAGACAAAGTTTAAATTATCGATGCATTTGGCAAACACATGCAATATTGGAGGAAAAATGGCACAGACCTAATACACTGACACAATTGCAAAAAATAAAAATAAATAAAAATGGAGTAACTGGAGGCACTCAAAAAGAGTGTCTACTAATCGAGTCCGATTTTCAGCTATTCTGAGCTTTATGCCGTTTCACCATATTTGCTGTTTAATGTAGTGTGCTGACAGGGGTCCAAATTTCTCTCCTCTGTATTGATCATCACAGCTGAGCTCTTCTCAGCTCAACTGACTCAGAGTCAGCACTCCGAGGTGCTTTCTGGCTCTGTGATACAGGGACACGGTCAAAGCAAATTCCCAGCAGTAAAAAACACGGAAAAATTGCCTTATCGAGCAGGCTAACTAACTAAATAAATTACTCCACAACACACTAAAAATTTAATTTAGCAGTGCTGCACCTGACCCATTACACACTATAAAAACAAAGCTGTCAGAGTTTTGACTTATCTGGGACAAAGATATGCTAATGAGGCAGCGGAAGCTGCTTAAATGCAAATCCAAGTGTCCACTTTATCTCCGAAAATAAAACAAACAAAAAAAGAAAGAGAAATTATAATAAACTGAAACTGCTGCAGCAAAATTAATACATGTGCTGCAATTTATAACACTGCACCCCAATGCTATTTGTGTGGGATACAGCAATTAGGACATCCCACCAACTTGCTCCAAACAGGCCCACATCAAGGATAAAGGTGAAATTGGATGAATCAATTAGAGGAGGTATGGGAGTTGCATGGCACCTTCAGGATAGCAAAACCTGCCCGGCTCAGAAAATGGCTGGCGGGACCAAGGTATCCATGATGATTTATTGCTTGTGGCACATAAATTACAGCACAAGCCATGAAAACGGCACCTCATACTTAAGCAAATTTATACAGAGCGTCTCTTTAACATGGAGGTCACATCGCTGAGCATTGTGGGGTAGAAGGCAGGCAGGACTCAGTGATGGCCACAACTAAACCACCCAGAGAGGCTCTGCATAGCGGGATCTGCTTTTTATTACAAGCACGCAGACACACTCACATACATCAATACATAGAGGCCTTAATCCACAAACACACACACAGGCTAGGCTTTTTATTGTTCTGCTTCTTTCTTTATGTCTTGAAATCTTCATTCTTTCTGTCTGTCATTCATTCATTTTGCCTGTCTGTCTATTTTGCCAATCCTTTCTCTTGTTTTTCTTGATGCTTTATGTCCTTCCTTTCTCTCTTTCACTCCTTCCCTCCTACCTACAATTAAAAACCAGCACCATTATCAGGTGTCTAAACATGAAAACAGATTCTGGACAGCATAATAAATGTAAATCCATAATAATGAATCCAATTTATGTAATCAAATTAAGACATCAGATTAGTGTAATAAAATTAGTGCACAAAACAAAAATGTGTGCAGGACAAATATTTAAAAACTACTACTGTTAAGCGAGGCATTCACCGCCAAACCACTGGAAGACGTTTACTGATAAGCAGTGAGAAAAACATTTGAATGAGCACTAGAAAAAAAACTTGTTCACAAAATGCTACATATTTGCAGTGCTATTAAACAAACTGTACAACACCAGCAGTGGTAGGCCTATATTTTGATTTAAGCCTCGATTTAGCCCACAATTTTAAAAAAGCAATAATAGCCTCAATCCAGTGAGACCACCAATGAAAGTGATATTTTAGCAGAGCTACACTGTGACTGTGATCACGGGGGGGGGATGATAGAGGAAACAATGACTTGTTGACAACGGGAAATGATTTCAAAACAGAGGCTTGGAACGACATCTCATCTCATTCAGCTAAAGAGATGATATAGCAACATAAGTTTGTTTCAGACTAGGTAGCCAATCTTTGATGCTAAATCACAGATTGTGAGTGTTATGAGGATGACGATTTAGAGGGATGCAGCGAGGGGCCAAGGGAATGACTCCTTCATACCAGAGAGAAGAGGAGAAATAAAGAGCTGACAGCAACAATGGTGGTTAAAATGTGCCAAGGACTGCAATTTCTGCAGTTCCTTAGTTTAGCCTAATGTACACATATTTTAAAAAGCAAAAACAGCCAAATAGTAACTGTTCCAGTGAGAGTTGATGACAAGAATCTGCATGAGGCAGAATATTCAGAAGGAAATAATATAGAACAGAGGCTGAATTCACCATTTTCTTTTTCAAGAATTGCTCATAGGAACATTTTTAGAATTTATCTTAAGAAATGTCTTAACATCTTTAAGAAGATTTTCATGAATCCTGGCCTCTGGACTCTACAACACTCAACAAAAACTTGTTTCCCTTACGAAAATTAACCACGGTTTTATTGTAGTAAAATTATAGTAACCATAGTTTTCTGGCGTATTGATTACCATTTGTATTCACAGTTTTACTACAAATACTATGGTTAAACTATAGTTAGTGTAGCAAAACCATGGTTAATTTGTGGTCACCGTGGTTTAACTATAGTAACCATGGTTTGTTGGTTTAATTTGTAGTAAAACCATGGTTAATTTTCGTTAGGGTTGGAACGCTACATGTTAGCATACAATATTACTAACAATTCTTGCTTTACAAAAACAACGCTACTGCTGTTGCTTATTCTTAGGATTAGGGATTTAATCATTGTATTCAGCACAAATTTATTAATTTGATTAGATCTGTGCTACAGACTAAAACGTTATAGGCTACCTCAAATAATGCAGTTAGTTGACAATAGGTATGCTAATACTTCACTAATCAATTTTCACATGCCAAACAATAAAATTAACAACAAAAATAACAGAACATGACAGAAACTTGGTGGTAGGGCTGCACGATAAATCGCATGCGATATTTAATGCGCATCTTGTCAGAAAGCCGGTTCTGTAATCAGCGGTAAATCTCCATCACGTGTGTGCTTTCACATTGAGCAGCATTAACTACACAGAGCCGTTGTTCACTGACAAGCTGCGCAAAAAATCGCGTGAATATGAAAGTGGTTTTGCGCAGCTCGTCAGTGAACAACGGCTCTGTGTAGTTAATGCTGCTCAATGTGAAAGCACGCACGTGATGGAGATTTACCGCTGATTACAGAACCGGCTTTACTGATAAGATGTGCGTTAAATATTGCATGTGATTTATCATACAGCCCTACTTGGTGGACTCTCAATTTAAAGTCGGCATGTAACGGAAGTTGCGATTGTCTTTTCTTCTCTACTGTGACGTATATCAGAGTGAAACGGCATCTGAAATGAGAGGGCGGGACATGATTGGATCGTTGGAAGCTGGGGCGTTGCAAACAAAATGGAGGCAGATCTGAATGCCAGTTTGTAGTTAGTGGTGGGGGATTTCTCTCCACTGGATTCACCACCGACACCTAAGCATGAATAAATGTTTTATTTATTAAGGATGACGACAACAGCACAAAACATGCCTAAACAGTGCGCGCAAGAGAGAGAGAGAGAGAGAGAGAGAGAGAGAGAGCCTGAATGACTGAGCGCATCCTCCATCAGGTTAAGATGAATAAAAAAAATTTGTTTGTGATGTCCTAAGAGTAATGTTGTCATAATATCCTAATATCTTTTCAATGTTTAGAGGTAACGTACTCCCTCATGACTGGTGTCAGTGCTATAAAGTGAAGCATCAGCTTCAGCTTTTCCCCCTGTCGGTGAAGTCGCGCAGGTAAAGTCGCAGGTCTTTACATTCGTTGGTCTTCACGCGAGGAGGCCTGAACGCTTCCGCTGATGCTTCCGCG